ACGTGTGCTCTTCCGATCTCAAAACCCCAAAACCCCAAAACCCCAAAACCCCAGAATTATGAATCTGAGAAATAAAGGCGTGTGAGAATTATAAAGATTAAATAAATATCTAATATGTCTAAAAAGGGTAAAGCTTTCCGTACAAAGGGTTCACTTCTCGTCGCTGTAATTGGAGATGAAGCCACCGTCACAGGTTTCTTGCTAACAGGTATTGGTGAACGTAATAGAAAGGGTGATTCTAACTTCCTAACTGTTACTAAAGACACCACACTCTCCCAGATTGAGATATTTTTCAAGAAGCTACTAGACAGAGACGATATTGGAATCATTATGATATCACAAAACATAGCAGAATAGATTAGAAATTTGATTACCGAACATGAAGAAGTCATCCCTACAGTAATGGAAATTCCATCAAAAGATGTTGCCTATGACCCAGAAAAGGATGTCATTTTGTCAAGAGCTGCTAGAATTCTCTATGGTAATGAAGTCGGTATGGAAAAACTCAGACAACTTGATTGATCTCTTAATTTATCAATAATTCATAATACATTAAAGTTTATAATATTTGAGGAGATATAATATAAATTTACATTTTAATCAAAATGGATAATAGCGACACCCAATCAATGAACTCCTCATAGACGAAAAAATCTAAAATGTCTGAGGCAAACTCCAATGGCAAGGAAAAAAAATCTAAGAAGCCCTAAAATGATGAAGACCTTAAAAAAGAAAAGAAAATAACCAAGGTGCTAAAATTAGCCATGAATAAGGAAAAAGAAAAGAACGCGAATCTCTAAGTAGAAATCGAGAAATTAAGAAATAGGAATACTGAGTTGGAAGCTGAATTAAAGGAAAAAGAGAAGAAGTATTTAGATTTCTATATTGAGAACACTCGCTAGCATGAGTAAATCGTAGAACTATAAAATTAATTGCAGGAATCATAGATGAATGCATAGGTTAGTTTTCATTATCAGTTTTCATTAACATATGTTTCCACATAAGCCTATAATGACTTTATTTTGTATAGAAAGAAGTAAAATAATCTAGTGATAAGAATCAGAAAAATTAAAAGCCTAGGGATGATTCTGATATGATTATGAATTATGAAAAGAGGATATAGGAATACATGCTTAACATGTAAAAGCTAGAAAGAGATATGTCTTATAAAGAGGAAGAACTTAAAAATGTGAAAAATATTGCCAGAGAAACTGCAGCGTAATTTTAAATAATAAATATCCTATAGAGAGCTAGAGCCATTAAAGAAGATTGAATATGAATATAAAAAGATTGTAGAGTAGAAGGAATAAGTGATTGAAGAGAAAGTATAACAGATGGCAGAGTTGAATAAATACATAGAAAGCCTTAAAGTAGAAAATGATGAAAAAATTTAGCAGATTATTAAGGAGATGGACGAGACCAATATGTAGAATAATAAGATGATAGATCTAAAGTTAGAGTTTGAAGCCAAAATAGATAGAAAGGATAAGGATATTGGAGAGCTGATGGAGATACTGCATAAACTAAAAGATGACATCAAGGGTAAAGATCAGGCTATATCTGCATTAAGTTAAACACTTATGGAGAAAGGAGACGAGAATCGATAGTTGTCTGAAGCAGTTAATGAAATTAAAAATCATCATCTCTCTACCTCTATTCTTGGAAAGAAATTTGCAGGGTAGAAGATTGGCACCATAAAGCTAGACGAAGTTACTGTAAGTTTTTAAGTTTTAGATAATCTATATATAGTTTAGATTTGCATGTGATTCTTCGAGAGAGGACAGTGAATACTATCTAGAAATTCTGGACTATCGAGGTAAAAGCTGGAAACAAATTCCAGTTCTTGACATTGAATCAATAGAGCCCTCATAAGGCATCAAATTTATCCTATCTTACTATGTTTCAAGCAGCTTTTTTGGGAAATCTGAGTCAATCAAGTAAGAACACTATTAGAGTAGGCATATTGCTGAATTAAAGGACGCTTATGATCAAATTATGAACATTATTGAAAAGAAAGAACAAGAAGTAGAAAATTTTTTCTAATCATAAAGATCTTAGTCAATGGTAATATATGGTTAGGAAGGATTAAATGGAAATAACCAAGGTAGTGTTAATAAAAGTAATGGCTTAGTAAATTCTGTAAGTGCTTTTGGAGCAGGTGTGACTGGAGCTATAGGAAATCTTTTTAAAACTAAGACAAATACAAACATTGATTAGCCGAATCATAATAATAACAAACAAGACCAATAAATAAAGGAAGAGACGGATTCAGAGGATGAGGTTGATTCTGATGAGGATGTTGATGGAGATAACTCAAATCAAAGCGCGGAGGAAGAATTAAATAATTAGTATGAAGAAGTAAACTGATTGCAGATTTTACACGGAACATCCTTGTTAAGTTGCTCCACTATATCAATAAAACTTAATTTGATACATTAATTTATTTATGTCAATAAATATAGTTAGAACTAGTTAACAGTTTATATGTTGAGCTCTTATGACATACACTTCCATATATCATTAATTATTATGCCCTCACTCGTCATGCCACATAATTCTCTTCCCGTCTTCCCAGACTCCTTTCCTTTCTTATCCATTTGCTTGTCTATAGCTTCCTTCACCGTGCTGTTTTCCATTTTACCATTAGCCAATGTACTATCTTCCATCTTGCCAAGTGTACGTGCCGAACCCATGCTTTCTATCATTGAGATATTCACCTTCATATCTTCTACCATCTTTCCATGTGTAGAGTCCCCTTCCGTGCATGTTGTTATCTTTCCACTCTCCTTCATATCTACGACCATCTGGCCATTCATAAATACCTCTACCATTGATTTTATTCTCGTACCATTCACCACTATAAGTGGATCCATCATTCCATACATAGGTACCTTTCCCATGCTTCATGCCTTCTTTATATCCTCCTTCGTACTTACTGCCATCTGACCAAGACTCTACACCATATCCATCTTGTAAATCATTTTTCCAATGCCCTTCGTATTTCGCACCGTTAACATGTACATAAACACCATACCCATTGGCTTTATCATCTTCCCATTCACCTTCATAAATATCTCCGTCTGCATGCCAGAACTTTCCCTTGCCGTTAGCTTTATTGAATCTCCATTCTCCTTCATACTTTGCACCGTCTGGCCAGACTTGGATGCCTGGACCATGTCTTTGTTAGTCTTTCAAGTAACCTAATAGTTTTGATATCTTGTAAAATATTACCCTTGTAGACTGCACCGTTTTCAAAAACTAACTCTTCTATATAGGTAAGCCCATCTCTTTAAGCTTATCTTTCAAGTTAAGTTAGTAGGTCATCTCTACCATTGCCTAGATGTATTTAGTTCGTCTAATTATTTTATTAGGACAAGATGATTGATGCGAATTTACTGTTTATCCGTGAGTCGTTATATTGCTATCATTTAAAGCACTTGAGTTTTATTTTCTACCCTGGGATTAAGCAGCAGACGGAGCTGTTTAGGTTTTACCTGCTTTTAAGTGTCTCTATCGAATTCAATAAAATAAGAATAAATATACAGCATCAGTTCTGACTTCTTGCTCTTTATCACCAGCATCATTGCACGAACATGTCTAACCCATTTTCAGATTCAATTATTAATTTATCAGCTAATTTATGTTTTGTTGAAGAATAAATATGACTTATAAGATTGATGGGGTTTTGGGGTTTTGGGGTTTTGGGG